GTGTCACAGGAAGCACCAACTGCCATCTTGGGCGCCCCGCTAAGTAATCGCTCTATATGTCTGTGTATTTAATCCTCGGAAGGAGCCTATGAGGAACTGAGGTGTGAAAAGCATTTGGAATTCTCACACAGCAAAAGCTACAAAGCAAGGAGCTAGGCTCTGAACCCATGGCCGTCTGACTTCAGAGACCAAGCTGTGGGAGGAGGTGTTTAAGACAGGAGGACCACGGCAGGAGGTGAAGTGGGTATTAGCCAGCCTGGACTTAGCTAGTAGTGCTCCATGACTCATCCCAACAAGCCAACTCCAGCTCCTCAGCTTGCAGCTCTCACCTTTCCAGGGGAACACCCCCTCACCCCCACTCTAAGTTTCTGGGGCTCTACTTTTGTCCCTGAGAGTGAGGCATATATACATGGTGGCTTCCCGGGCCACAGTGAACGTTTGAAGGCACCAGTATGACTGAAGTCCGCCTGTCTAATCAGGATGAATCTCAGAGCTTCTGGACAGGACTGTCCTTGGTTCTTTGCTGCTGGGTATTACACAGGGTGCTAGAGTTGATGTGCCCAGGACCTCTCTGTAGAGCCACTGAACTTGAGAAGATGACTTATAATTACAATGCCAGAGCCCAAACCAGGTATTCTAAAAGCAGGTCTACATTGACCTCTTCAGGGACTCAACAAAGCAGTAAATCCTCTCCAGGCAATTCACCTGCATTTTTGGTCATGGGCCGTCACAGTACTGATGATCACCACCATTGCTAAAGAAAGCAGGAGGAACTGGATGAGAACCACAGACAGGAAGGCTGTCCACTAACAGGGAGGGAAGCTTTCTACCCTGTATCCCAGACCAGAAGAGAGGCAAGATTCTGTCCTGACTAACAGAATTCTAACCAGTCAAAGGTCTGAACATCTTATTCTGGAGAGTCTGTATTTGCTTGGTTGACAATTTCATTTTTCTGGACATTAGAGGGAAATGGGATTATGTCTTTATTCAGATTTAGAAGGCAGTTTTTCCTTCTCTTCTCTCTTTTTTTTTTGAGACAGGGTCTCACTATGTAACCCTAGACTGACCTGGAACTCAGTATATAGACCAGGCTGGCCTCAAACTCACAAAGGTCCGCCTGCCTCTGCCTATTAAGTACTGGGACTAAAGGCGTTGTACCACCACACGTGGTAGTTTTCCCCATTTTTAAAAGGGGAAAAAATCTTGGGCAAGCATGATCCTGGGATTTTTAAAGTTTATTAGGAGAAAAATAGGAATAATTTTCAGGAAAAGGTCCAAGACCTTAAAAGGGAAAGACCTCTTAGAAAACTAAAATCTGATGGCCAATTATTCTTCAAATGGGAAAATGTAAAAAGCATTCAAATCTTGGCTAGTGAATTAATCCTCAGGAGTTCTAGGCACAAGCCATGTCTCAGTCACAACATTTTTGGCTCTTAAACCCAATGACATTTTCTGATTTTGTTTTACCCAGCACCCTAGTCAGGCACAGTGACCTGTGCAAAGTTAGGGAACTGGAAGTCCACTGCTGTCTCTGCCATCACAACCCACGCAGCTCCCAGACAGCAAACTATAAAACAGCACATACATACAGGAAACACAAATGCACAGCGGGACGGGCCTGCATGAGCAATGGTCTAAAGGATATATCTAGAAGGAACTAACACTTGTTCACTGGAAGCAAAATAGAACCAAAAACAAACAAACATAAGAAAAAACCCACCAGAATTTCTGTTCTCTTAAGAATTAAATCTTGGAGATTTGGCTCAGCAAAATCTGGAGAGATGGCCCAGCAGTTAAGGACGCTGTTCTTGCAGAAGACCCAGGTTTGAATCCCAGCACCCACATGGCAGCTAACAACTGTCCATAACTCCAGTTCCAGGGGATCCAATGGCCTCTTCTGTCCTCTGAGGGCATTGTATGACACAGGTGCACTTATGTACATATAGGCAATACACATAAAATAAAAATAAAATATTAAAAAAAAAGAATTAAATTGAAGTTTTCAAAAGTGAGATGTAGGTGTCTATATGGGGAAGATGACCAGGCATTCAGTGAGACCAGCTTCCTCAGCTCCTGGTGGTTAAGAGATACTGACAGTCTGTGAGGGAGGACGAGCAGGTGGCTCTAGCCCCCTGGTTATGAGCTCGAGGAGCAGCTACGCAAGCTCTAAAACCTGAGGGAGGGGCTGGAGAGATACTCAGCAGTTAAGAGCACTTGCTGCTCTTCCAGAGACCTGGAGTCAGGTTCCCACACCCACACTGGGGCTCACAGCTGCCTATAATTCCAGCTCCAGATCTAACACTGCCTTCTAGTCTACGTGGGCACACATTTGTGTATACACACACATATATGAAAATAAATAATAGTGGTGCATACCTTTGATCCCAGCACTCAGGAGGCAGAGGCAGGTGGATCTCTGGGTTCAAGGCCAGCCTGGTCTACATAGCAAGTTCCAGGCCAGGTGGAGCTACAGGGAGACCCTGTCTCAAAAAGACCAAACAAACAAACAAACAAACAAACAAACAATAATCTTAACAACAAAAGAACTCAAAGAGCTGGGAGATGGGCTCAAGGAACCCATTGACAGTCTAAGAAGAATCAGAGAAAATAGAGCTTCTCATCGTCTGAGAGGCCACCTGCATTGCGAACCAGGGAGATTTCCAAGCACAAGGGAAAGGAAGCACCAGGACACGGCAAGCAGAGTGGTCAGAGGACAGGCACAGGCAACTGACCGAACTGGAGAGGGAAATGGCCAATAAGAATAAAAGATCCCGGGCTGGAGAGGTGGCTCAGCGGTTAAGAACACTGGTTGCTCTTACAGAAGACCTGGGTTCGAATCCCAGCACCCACATGGCAGCTAACAACTGTAGGTAACTCCAGTTCCAGGGGATCCAACAGCCCTTCTGACATTGCATGACACGGGTGCACTTACCTACATGTAGGCAATACATGCATACACATAAAATTAAAAACATTAAATAAAAATTTTGGGGGCCTTTTAAGATCCCCACCACCATGGAAACATGCATTAACATAACCTGATTCTGGGCTAGAGAGATGGCTGAGGTTGACAGCACATACTGCTCTTGCAAAAGGCCCGAGTTCCACTCCCAGCACCTATATAAGGCAGCTCACAACTGCCTTCCAGGAGATAGGACACCTTCTTCTGTCCTCCGCTGGCACTCACACACATGTGGCAGACAGATCAACACACACATACACATACACATAAAAATAAATAAATAAATACAAAAGCAATGTTATTTTGCTGAGCTTAGTGGCTCATGCCTGTAATCGTAGCACTTGGGAGGCTAAGGCAGGAGGCCTGCTGTGAGTTCAAGGCCAGCCTGTGCTACACAGTGAGACACTGTATCAAAAACAACAAATATACCCTGATACTATTTACACAGATCAATGAAAACCCAAAGACTGATACAGTCAACTACTCATAACAATGTGGGAGCAGATACTCACGAGTGGAACATAGAACTTTCTTTAAGGAGCAATTTGGTGGGACTAACTAAAATAAAAATAGGTCATACTTTGACACAGCAATCTGAAAAACTAATGTATGAAGAAGCTGGTGGGGTTTTTTATATAGGGCTGTTTATAACAGTAAAACATTAGAAAATACTTTTTAGTACTGACCATGGCTTTACACATGTCTAAAGACACTACTGGCACATTGACACCATGGGCCCTATGGCCACAATGAAAGGCAATGGTTACAGTTTGAATAAGATCAGTCTCCTAACAGCTTATGGGTTGGAAGTTTGATCTCCAATGTGATCATAGCAACAGGTGGGACTTAGCAAAAGGGGAAGGGAATCAGGCTATTAGGCCAGTCTCCGGGTACTGTGACCTCGTTCTTCTTTTTCTTCGTTCCTTTTCATTTTACTTTTTGTTGTTTTGCTTGTTGAGATAGGGTATCCTAGAGGCAAGGCTGGCCTCAAACTCACTGTATAGCTGAGGCTAGCCTTGAACTCCTGATCCTCCTGTCTCCACCTCCCAAGTGCTAGGATTATGGGAGCACCACCATGACTTAGTTGTTCTTATAAGAGTAAGCCTCTCAGCCCGGTGTGGTGGCATTAATCCCAGCACTCGGGAGGCAGGTGGATCTCTGTGAGCTCAAGGCCAGCCTGGTCTACCTAGTGAGTTCCGGACAGCTGGGGCTACAGGGAGACCCTGTCTCAAAAAAAAAAAAAAAAAAAGAAGAAGAAAGAAAAAAGAGTATCCCTCTCTGGATTGCTTTTTGGCCTCCTGTCTTACCACCTTATGATCTTTCTCTTACACAACCTCCCATCATGATGTCACCTGCCTTGATGTGATGTTGTGGGGCAGGGAAGGGGGGATTATTCATGGCAGATCCCAAACCATGCTGTTCAGATCTTTGGCCTCCAAAATTGTGACCTAAGTGAAGTTCTTTTCTTTATATACTACCCAGACTTGGGCATTTTGTTATAGCAACAGAGAACAGAGTAATACAGTGATCCACATATACTATTATTGAATGATCTTCTGGGTGTTATCTTTCATATTTTAAAAAGACAAGAAAGAGGGCTGGCAAGGTGACTCAATGGGTAAAGGCACTTGCCACCAAGCCTGACAACCTGAGTTCAATTCCTGGAACCCACATCATGGAAGGAAAGAACCAATTTCTAAAAGTTGTCTTCTGACATCAACACACATGCCATGACACAAGTGCACCCACTATAGAGACAAAAACTCACACAGAGACAAAAACATGTAAAAAAAATGTTCAAAGAAGACTGCTTATGTCTATAAGTATAGACATGTATACAAATAACCAGAAAACTATTTAAAGGGCATCAATTAACTTAATAATAGAAGTTACCCTGAGAAGTAACGTGGAATACCTTTGTCCCTTCTACAACATGTAAGAAGAGAAAAGCCAAGAACACACATGTACTAGGGATTTATCTGCAACCCTTGTTAGGTGGGAAAAGCTCTGGCGGGAACTCTCCCCCATCAGAACTGACCTCTTCAGTGAAGATCGAGAGAGCACCTGTGCGGCCTGGTTCATGGCCCTGACCCAGGCATTCATGTCCTCCAGGGTGTCGGCACTGAAGTAGTAGGTCCTCATGCCCGAGTGCTCGGCCTGCGAGCCCGATGTGGAGGTGCTGTAGATGAGTGCCCGCATCCCCCTGTGCACGGCCTGTAACATGGGGACAGACTGGTTAGCACACGTTCCTGTGGGAGCACAAAGGGGTGCTCTGACTGTATTCACCTCCGTTGAGATAAAGACCCACTGCCAGCCAGCTTGTCTCCAGATCTGGAAACCGTCATGGCCTAGATGCCACTTTTAAAGCCAGGTCCAGGGACCACAGTGTCTATTCTCTGGGAAGACACCCCTGAAGCTGTGCCTGTTCTCTCTCTCTCTCTCTCTCTCTCTCTCTCTCTCTCTCTCTCTCTCTGCTCCTGTCTCTGTCTCTCCTGCCTAGAGAGAGGCATGAGGCAAAGCTTATACAAGAAACAGACTGGCGGGGGCAGAGCTGGGGACAGAACCCAGACCTTTACACATGTAAGTCCAGTGCTCTACCGCTGAGCCACATTCCCAAGCCCAGAAGCAGACTCTCGGGAACCCGTTTTGGTTCATCTGCAGCACTCAGCTCCTGCTCTGGGTACAATCAGACAAGACAAGGGTCAAAACTGGCTGCAGCAGCAGAGACTTGGCGCTCCTGGGGGTGGGTCTACTGTGCTTCAACTGGCCTGAAATGTGACGTGTACCTAAGGAAGCTGCCACTGTGTGTCTTCAGGAGATGCTGTAGAACTGAACAGAGCTGACCAAAACCTGGCCTGTGCCTATCCCGTGCTTCCCCACAAGGTGTTGTGGAAAGCCTGGGAAGAGGCGTGGGGATGACCTTGAAGAGTGACTGTGATGGCTGCCGGGCAGACGCGGCATCGGAGTTCTCCTGTGTTCTGTAGGCAGACCTGCCACTCACAAAGGACCATCAACCTCACAGGAAAAGGAAGCTTTTCTATTTTGCCCACTACTGTATCCCCAGGAATAGTGCCTAGCACTCAGTAGGTGCTCAGTAAATACATGTTGAATAAATGACGAGTTGGAGCCTCGGTCTTACTCCCAGTCTGGGCTTCTCTGTACAGTGTTCACAGGTCCTATCCAGAAATGACAGTGATCTAGAGGACAGGCAGGCCCCAGAAGGACCAATCACAGGAAGCGAGATGAGAACGAGCTAAGTTGAAAAACGGCCCGCTTTCAGAAGAGATGGACAAAACCCCTTGGCTTGGCTGCCAGCATTTACTTCTCCCCACACTCAACATCCAAGTCCAAAATACACATTAATTATGGGCCTCCTTCTGCCATTTCTATGTCTGAATCCACTCAGCCCAGTGCCCAGGGAGTCTAGGCAAACTGGGCCTGCAGCCAAGGTCCTGACAGTGGCAGAAACTGCCTCAGATACTTCCTTTGAATGCCTTAGCTGTTATCAAGGTCCCATGAAGCCGTCTCCATATTTTAGCAAGGAGGTGGTAGCAGTTCAAACAGAAAGAAACGTGCACACGAGTTACCACAAAGCAGCAGACATTTAGATGCTCCCCGGACCGCGGGCCCTGAGATCCACACCGCTCTTCCCATCCTTTTCTGCCCGGTCACAGAGGGTTCCGGGGCAAGCACTCCCCACTCCCACAGGATACAAGCCCAGGGAGGTCTCTGATGTACCCTCAAAGAGAGAGCAGGTCCCTGTTCTACAAGTTCCACAGAGCCAGCCTTGTTCAGGAATCGACCTAGGGCACACGGCAAGCATGCGCGCATGAGTCTGCAAGGTCTGTCTGCAAATGTGCATGGGGAGAGAAGCCACCACAGAGGAGTCATACATGAGCACATATAATTGTGCTCACTAACCAAACTGCCAGCAGGTATGTGCTCAGTTGCTCACCTGAAGACCAGGTTCCCAACTGCACTTCGCTGGGCCAGTTAGATGCACTGACTGTAAAGGTAAGGACGCAATTTTCTCTGTCACCTGGCCCAGTGACCTAAGCCAAAAGTGCTCCGTGCCTGAGGAGGCATCCAAGGTCCAGGGAGAAGGCTCCTCTCTGGTCCTGGTCTCATCTGGGAGATGGTCCCTTCCTCTCTGCTCCAGGCTTCTCAGTTAGCACAACCCTACTGGGCAACTTCACATGACAGAATGGAAACCAGGCTACACCTAAAGGAAATGAGGGTGAGAGTAAGGGAGCATCTACCTCATAAACAACGTGCCCTTAAACGTGACTGTTCCGACACAGCACTGATGAAGGAGCCCAAGGTCTCCCACCTCAATCCCAACAGTCAGATATCAGGACAGAAAAACCTGTGAAAATCTAAGTGGGCAATCCAGGAGCATCCAAAAGGCCACCAAACTTGCTGACGCACTTTCAAGCTTACTCCTGCCTCAGTAATGCACCACGTATTGTTTACCATGGAGAGCGCTGGACTAGAAGTTAGAGGGGCAGCTGTCTAGAAAGCCCTGACCATTTATAGCCCTTTCTAAGAAAACACCCATGGATAAGTATTGAAATGGTAACAAGTGTCCTCGAGGTTCAGGGCAAAAGCACTTGCTCTGCAAACATGAGGGCCTGAGTTTGAATCCCTAGCACCCCCACAAAAAACCGGTGTGGCTGTCTGTGCTTGTAACCCCAGTGTTGGGGAGGGGGGCAGGGCAGAGATAGGCAGATGCCCAGAGTTCACTGGACAGCCAGCCTAGCCCAAAGGGTTCTGTGAAAAATCTGTCTCAAGGCAGTAAGGTGGACGGCGAGAGAGGAAGGCAGAGCATTTTGCTCTGGCGTCCGCACGCACATGCATGGGTGCACCTACACACAGATCACACAAGAAGGGGTTCAGGGTGCTGTGAAGGAGGGGGATAGGGGGATGCCACCTGGCCTGGAGAAGGACTCATCTGGGAACCGACATTCAGGCAGCTCCTGAGCAGGAGGACAAGACACCTAGATCCTGGGAAGCACCAGTGTGGGGTGCGCACCCTCATGTGTGAGGCCAGCATGAGGGCACGGGGCGGCATGAGGTAAGGCCACGACGCTGCCCAGGCAGGGGCCCCAGGGCCTTGTAGGTCGTATGAAAGATTCACGAGAAGCTACTAAGGAGCCACGCTGAGGCTGTGGGGGCACGCAGCCAGATCTTGTCTGGAAAGCGTGCTGGCTGAAGTGTGGGATGAAGGAGAAGAATCCTTGACACGTAAAGACGCTTTCTTAGTATCCACCTCACACCTCCCAAGGAAGTGCGAAGATAACTACACAGAGCCAAGATAAGCTATGTGAGGACACTCTAAGCCTGCCTCTCCTGGCACCCAGCTGTTTGCCTTGGTGACACTCAACCCCAGAAAGTGGGGGTCTCCCAAGAAAGACTCCCAGGCTATGAAGAAAATGTGGAAAGTCACAGAACAAGCTCGCCCTTTGGCTGGGCTGAGGCTTCCGAGCTCAGGAAGAGAAGAGGCTCTAAATGATGCAACGAACGTCCATTCAAGCCATGTCTCACCTACTGCAATGTGCAGGAAGTGACTGAGAGACGTGGAGGAAAGCAGAGGACAAGAAATGACCCCCCGACCCCCCCTGCAGTGCAAAGGAAAGAAGGCGGAGTCCAAAGCTGTCCGTCACCTTCCAGCTTTTAACTGCAGACAAGTTTTTCTTAAGTTCTAGGATCTCAGATTCCTCAACTATAAAATAAAGCCAGTAATAAATTGGGGTTGGAGAGATGGCTCAGCGGTTAAAAGCATTGACTGCTCTTGCAAAGGACCTGGGTTCGATTCCCAGCACCCACATGGTGGCTAAGAACCATCCTTATCTCCAGTTCTAGAGGAATCTGAAACCCTCTTCTGACCTCTGTGGCATTGCAGGACATGGTACACTCACATACATGCAGGCAATACACTCATACACATAAAATAAAAGTAATAAATAAAATATTTTTAAAAATAAATAAAAATAAGGCTAATAATACTGACCTCAGGCTCTCTAGGAGCATTCAATAAGGCTACACATACGAGGTACTGTTTTACAGATAGAAGGTGTAATGGCTACACTTCACTGTCAACCTGACTGTGCCCAGAGAAGCACCTGGGGAGATCAGTATGGCCCAGCTCTGGGTGTGCCTGAGGACATTTCCAGAGATGACTAGATCATGAGGGATCTGGTGGAATGAACAGTTTCCAAGTCTGAGTAGCCTGGGCCTGGTTGGAGGAAGTAGGGGCAGGTCTGTGGGAGTATCTTTCCCCTTCTGGTTGCAGATTGTCTCCACTTCCTGTCTGCCATGACATGAGCAAGGTCCTGTGCCATACACTCCTGCCACCACATGATCCTGCCCCAGCACATGGGGTCAGCAACCATGGACTGGACAAGCCAAAGGCAATCTTTCCTCCCAGAAGTTGCTCTTCGGGCATTTTGGTCACAGCGGCAGAAACTGACGAACAGAAAAGGTAAGATTACTCCATGCAACATGAAGTGGGGTGATGCAGACCTCCAGACAGCACTGCTGGACAGAGAGGTTCATGTCACAGGTGTATGTGGCTTACACCTCGGCTCATTCTGCCCCCCACCCCCGGAAGGAAAGAGAGAAGGAAGAAAGTGATTTTCCAAGCACCACTACCATCAGATTCCAGATCAAGACAGGTGCAGAGGATTGCTTTTCAAAAGCCTCACACAGCCTGAGGACCAATCGCTAATGCTACAGACATGACACACTCTCTTTTCACCCTCCCAGAGGGTGCTGGAGCATCTTGTCTTCTCTTTCCTGTGGTCCTTTAGCCATCTAGAGTGGAAAAGGTGACCTCTGCTCAGTGTCTGCCGTGGGTACTCACTACTCAGTGCTCATCTTATACCCCAACATAAGAGAACCTAGCACCCAGTGGAGGAGACAGCCGCCCCTGCCCACGTGCAAGTGCGTGGCATTGCCTGAGACCCGGAGCAGCCAGGACGAGGCTGAGATCTGTGGACACCAAGGGCTCCTTGCCACAGTGCTCTCTGGGACTTTTGTTCCAACTACCAGTAAAGTGAATCTTCAAGTCTGCTACGTCCCTGGGAGGCCCAAGAAACACCTGCAGTGAAGAAATCTGTGGAGCCACCAGTGAAGAGCTTGGGACTCCCAAGTTTGGTCCTAACCACGCCCTTCCTATAGGCTCCATATGCTATCAGAGGGCATCAAAGGACCGCTGGTCACCAGTGCGGCCCCACTCACTGCAAATGGCATGGCAGCCAGGGAAGGGGAAAAGGGTTCTGCCTGTAATCGTCAGTGACCTAGAAAATAAACCAATGCCATTCTAGTTTTAACAAGACACATGAAGTGAAAGACCTGATCCCCTTGTCACGCAGCACCCAGCCCTCCCTGGGTTCATAACAAGGGTATAAACCTGTCTTGGGGTCCTCAACTGCACTTGGCGGCTGTACCACAACACGATTCCTATTTAAATCATTTACACCTTCTTGACCTGAGCCTGAAACTCGCTAGCTTCCTAACTCCCTTCACCTCTCCACAAAAGGCTTTGTGCTTATGAAGGCATTTCTGAGAGCACAGCTTCTGACAAGGACTGCTGGGCGACTGCCGAAGGGCGATACCTTAAAGGAGTACTTGCGGCTTATGCGATCCTCAGGGGCCACAGGTGAGATCACGTAGCTGGGCAGAGGGATACTCCCGAGGACCGCTTCTTCTCGGCTGTCTTTGAATGGAAAAACACATCAGAACAACTTTCAGGGGAAGGGGGCAGCTATCCTATCTGAGCTACCAGGGTCTCCTCTCGTATCACTCAGGTGTTTACTGGTACCTCTGTGCCAGAAACCACAACAGTGAACCAGACAGAACACTCTGCCCAAGGGCAGAGAGAGGCCCGTGAGCACACTCAGCTCACCCTCTGTGTAAAAGGGCAGCATGCCACACGCTGTGGGGCAGAGACAAGAGTAGCACATAGTCAGGGACGTCAGGAAGGACCGAAGTGCTGCAAGTGTTTTCCGGGACAGGAAGGGTGTTTGGGAGGAGCAAACCTCACAGGCAATGCATGAGGAAAAGTTCCCACCAGCCTGAATGGAATATCTGCCTTCCTCTAGTCCACCTTCCCCCAAACCAGCTCATTCACCACCACCTCCTAATGCCTAGTGACAGAGTTGGCCCTGCTGATCTTCAACTCGGAGACCCTTGCTGTCTCTCCCTAGACACAATACAAAGTCCAGTACCCCTATCTTTGTGACAGCCCTTGTACTGTGGCTCTGACCTTCCTCCTAAATTTTATCTCTTAGGATAATCCCCATCTTAGGCTCACTGGCCCACACAGAGGTGTTTTTCATTCCATTTCCTTCTGTTTCTAGAACTTTACTCAAGTGTGTCATCTCCTTACAATGCTTATCTGCTCCCACACAGACAGAACATTGCCATCCTTAAAAGCCCAATTCAAATCCCATGTCTTCTAAGAAAGCCTTCTAAGATTTCCCAGCATAGAATTCAGTCACTCCCCTGAAGTGCCTGTGACTTCGGGTGTCTTCTAAACCACTGATCAGAGTCAAAACTTGTCTCTCTTCCTCCATATTTTGAGATTCAATACCACCCAGTCCCTAACTTTATGTAGTGCCCCATAAAAGCTCAGATGAGCAATTCCAGTGTCCTGTCTAGTACCACGGGAAAGACACTCAGACGACAAGTCAATTTCCCCGCACCTCCCAGATCTCCAGGGTCTTCCTATGTGGGACAGAAACCTATGTGACTCTGGGTCTTGAGACCCTAAATAATAGGTGAACTGGATTTGATTTACTTGAATTCAGCAACATGAACTACTAGGGCCTGGACTGGTAAAACTCAAGTCACCAGCCATATATACACATTAGTTGCCGCATACCAGGCAACTAATTAGCTCAGGCCTCGATTCCAGCGATGAGACCTGAGAAAGCCACTGTGTGTACTCCCTCACCACCCTCCTAGCAGAGTCCTTAGTGGCCTGAGCCTCAAGCTCACCTTTATAGTAGAACAAGCAGTAATCAGCAAGCACAAACCACCTTCTTTTCCATAGCCTCATTCCAGAACTGTCCTGAAAAACAAACAAAATCAATCAGGGCAGCTCTGATATACCTAATCTCCACCCACGTAAAGCTGACTCTGGAACCAAGGCTACCCACCACCACTCTTTCTTTTTTATTTTTTTAAGATAGGGTCTCATGTAGTCCAGGATGGCTTTAAACTCACTAGGTAGCCAAGGATGACCTTGAACTTCTGGTCCTCCTGCCTCTACCTCTTGAGTGCTGGGATTACAAGCATGTACCACCATGCCTGGTTAATGTGATGCTATGATGAAGCCCAGGACCTCATCAAGCTTGACAAGCACTCTACCAACGGAGATACATCTCTGGCCCCCACAGTCACTCTTTCAATAAATTAATGAGTGTCTTACTAAATAGTTATTTTTTGAATAGGACATTAAATTTAGATTCGGTGATGGTTTATCACAGGAAGTAAGGTGTTTTAGTCTCCTAGAAACAAATTACTGTAGTCCATCTTTTTTTCTAGAAAGGATGATGTGAATTCAAAAATAGAAGTCACCTATTAATAATCAGTTCTTACTAAAAAGGAAGTGCATGTTTTACAATCCAGGCTATAAAATATCTTCATTTATGCTGATCAGGAAAGTGAATTTACATAGTACTGAGTGCAGTTCAAGCTGGCTAGTTAGCTGAAGCAAAGCTCTCACCTAGCTCAGCTCTCTACCATAAAGAACTGATCTCACTGCTTTCTTTCCACTCACTGTTAAGGGGTTTGAACGCTCTTTGTGATCAAATTTCCTCATAACAAGAGTCTAATTTTACTCATCTGAACTGAAAACCTTTATGTTTACTAAGAACATTTCAAATAACTGAAAATTAAAAAAAAAAAAAAAAAAAACTTGACCACAGTAGGAAAATAGCAACGTTATAAGATCAGTTTTCTTCAAAGCCCAGGGAAGCCTCAGGGCTGTGTTGAGATGTTACTATTTCTCTTCCTTATCCAGAAGTTTTGATTGGAAAGATGTGAATTAAAATGAAAGGACAGTTTCTAAACCTAAACGCAATGGGGGTCTCGTTGGCTCCTACTCATTAAAGTGCTGAAACCAAATTTAACCTGATGCCAACATCCAATGGTTAGTTTATCTCCTGCAAATTGACTGATTTCTAAGGCCCCGAGAGCGTCTTAGAGGCCTTTATTACTGGGACGCCTTTACGCACCCTTCAGACATGGTTCAAACACCGTTTCTCCTGGGAAGGCTTTATGGGTTGTGTGACCACAGCTACCTTGACTTAGTCTACAACATCCTAAACCGACCCATCATGGTGCAGTAGGCCAAAGGAGTGGAGGGCAGGAAAAATTATTTACAGTCCCTTCCCTTTCCCGCCATATTTCCTAGGAACTTTATTTAACAGGAGCAAGATGGAGTGGAATATTACTCAGATAAAGAAAGACACATAAGGAAACAGTGGAGACCAGCGCTGTGAAGGGAGAGGTCAGGTGCTAGAGCATAAGAGATAGGGCCAGAGACGTGTGAAGGCCTGCCATGGGACCACTGAAACTCCTTCCATATAGAGGAGCCTCTGGGACTCCCCCCCCCGATGTGGAGGGGCCTCAGGGACTCCCCCCATGTAGAGGAGCCTCTGGGACTCCCCCTACCCATGTGGAGGGGTCTCTGGGACTCCTTCCATTCAGGGAGCAGTTCAAAGCCTAGCTCGATCTTCTCAAGGGCTTTCCTAAAGTAGGCATCATTACTCTTGGGACTTTGAATGGTGGCTTTTGGAGATGCTGGTGGGTGACAGAGTAGGGGTGAGTTACAGTATGATGGAAAAGATGTACCCTTGGGCTGCAGAGATAGCTCAGCAGTTAAGAGCACTGGCTACTCTTGCAGAGGATCTGGGTTTTCGGTTCCTAGCACCTACATGGCAGCTAACAACCATCCTTAACTCCAGTTCCAGGGGCTCTGACACCCTCTTCTGGCCTCCACAGGCAATGTACAACATGGGCACATTTACATACATGCAGGCAATACATTCATACACATAAATTTTTTTAAAAAGATGCACTCTTAGCCGGGTGTGGTGGCGCACCCCTTTAATCCCAGCACTCAGGAGGCAGAGGCAGGCTGATCTCTGTGAGTTCAAGGCCAGCCTGGTCTACATAGTGAGTTTCAGGCCAGCTGGGACTACAGGGAAACCCTGTCTCAAAAAGACCAAAAGAAAAAAGAAAAAAAAAAGATGCACTCTTGGGGCTGGAGAGATGGCTCAGCAGTTAAGAGCACTGACTGCTCTTGCAGAGGACCTGGGTTCGATTCCCAGCACCCACATGGTGGCTATGAACCGTCCTTAACTCCTAACTCCGGGGAATCTGACGACCTCTTCTGATCTCTGCGGCATTGTACAACATGGGTGCACTCACATACATGCAGGCATAAAATAAAAATAATAAAATATATATTTTTGAAAGATGCACTTTCTTTCTCTTGATAATGAGCGCCCAAGGGCAGGAGCCCCATTCCTTATCTCTATACCCACTGTGTGAGCATCTGGAACTTGGCTGGGACACAGGGCAGTAGTAAATGAAGGAATGACAAAGGAAGAAGAGGGAGAAAAGGAAAGGTCTCCAGACCTGGGAGCTCACTCACAGCCTAATTGTGGCTGGACAACCAGAGGTAAATTATGGGGGTGGAGGAAATGACAGATATATAGACTCGGGAGCAAGGGCTCCCGGCCTTGAGAGACGGAGGAGTGGATGATAGTGCCAAGGTTTCTACCCTGCATGCCTGAGAGAGGGGTGATGGCCCCTTATTGTTAAGATCCAAGAAAAGCAGGCTGGGGAGAGGGAAGGGCCTGGGGTGGGGAGATAGTTCGGCTGTTTTGGACTTCAGGTGCTAGGGAGCTAGTTATGTATGCCAGACAAGAGGAGAGGAAAGCATGGCATTTTTTCAGCCAAATGATAATAAAGACACTAGTATGAGGAAGGCAGATGCTGGCAGAGGGTGAACAGCTGATTCAGGATGACTCACCCAACTCACATTGAGGCCTGGGCCCCAATCTGAAACTCTGTCTCTCAACCCTCATTAATTTGCCTCTGGCAGCTAAGAGCACCAGGGGTCAAAGTGGGCAAGTGGGTTTCGGAGGGAAGCTATAACCCTTGAGCAAACAGCTCACTCATAAAAATGAACAAGTCACTCGGCACAGTGGGCACAACCTACCTACCCCAATCAAGTCCAGGAGCAGAGAGCTGCTTCTGTGCCTGGACTGGAGAGACAGTTCAGTGGTTAAATGTGCTAGCTGCCCTTAAGGGGACCCAAGTTTAGTTCTAGCACACACAGTGGGTGGTTCATAACTGCCTATAACATAACTCCAGTGAATCTGATGCCCTCTTCTGGCCTCCACAGGCACCTGTACTTAGGTGCACATACCCCCATACAGACACAGACAGACAGACAGACACATACACACAATTAAAAAAAAATTAGGAAGAAAGGAAGGAAAGAAAGAAGGAAAGGGAGGAAGGGAGAGAGGGAGGTTTGTTTCTGTACCTGTTCCCAGCATCTCAGGGCAGATAAAGAAAAGAAACCAAGAGCCACAGCCCACCTCTCTCCCACCTCGGCCTCCTCACCTGCTTGTGTAGCCAGCCCCTCACCACCACTGGGACACTGAGGTTCCTCCGAATGGCCTGGTCCCTCTTCCCAAAGCTGTGCACCTTACTACTGGACTTGGTGATCTAGGATAAAGCAGACCTGAATTCAAGCAGCAGGAGACTTAAGGAGGCACAGAAAAACACTTGTGTGTTAGGATGGTTGTTGGCTGTCTCTGCCAGGCTATAAGTGGTGGCACCCTTTGATCAGAGTGCCACAAGACAGGGATGAGAACGGTCACGTGCTCCCGGTCCTTGGTCACAGCATTCCAATCAAACACCCAGCCCCAAACCGGGCAAGCCTCCCAGCTGGGTCACAAGAAAAAAAATTAAGAAAAAAATTTAAGCAATTTAACAGCAGCTTCTGGCTCTAATTCGTCCTGTGCTATGCTCCCGGTCCTTGGTCACAGCATTCCAATCAAACACCCAGCCCCAAACTGGGCAAGCCTCCCAGCTGGGTCACAAGAAAAAAAATTAAGAAAAAATTTAAGCAATTTAACAGCAGCTTCTGGCTCTAATTCGTCCTGTGCTTTCTGGAGTCAAGTACTTTCCGGTCACAGACTTGTCAATTTTCTAATACTTGGTCCTCTATCTGGTTTGCCCTTTAGCACACTCCTCCACCAGTGTTGGATCTTTTCCCTGCTAAATCAGTGATTCCACACCTTGAGTACAGAAACTTCTGGGCACGTACCAAGGGCACCCTTCCTCAGGCCCATCTGTGATAGAAACTTGCCAGGATCTAACACATGTGCACATGTGAACAAAGGTGTGGCTTTCTGAGTACACATCAGGACAAGGAATGTGTTCAAGGAACTAGACACTAGTCTTGGTCTGTCAGGACCACCCGATTCCTTGAACAAAGGCTATGATCTTCTTGACCTCTTTCCTGATCTGTCATTCAGGGACAACACTTCTTGGGGGTCCTCCCATGAATTATGCTGACAATCAAATGGGCTTCTGGCTACAAAGGGGCTTGGAAATTAAGAACCAGTGGCCAGGAGCTCACCTTGGGTCCAGGCTTGGCCTCCAGGGTGGATGTGGTCCCGGCCGTGGATGTCTCACTGACCATGCTGGACGGTCTTTGGTCTCTCTCCTGCTTCGACATAGGTGGGTTTGGCCTGCAGGGAAGCACAGGGGAATCCAGTGAGTGTGTACCAAGCTGCAGAGTGGGAAGTGGAGTCTGAGATCTGTTCCAGGTTGGAGCTGGTTGCTTGGCCTTCGAAAAACCCAGATCTGATCTTTTGGAGACTGCCTGACTCCAGACTATAGCCAAAAGGCCATACTGGCCACCTGTCCCTGAGAATGTCCACAACCCAAGAGGATGACAGCTGGGCACACTACCATAGCCAGACACTCCAGAAAAGTATGCACACGGCACTGTCTGACTGTGGTCCTAAGATGCCCACACTCATTCTCCTACTTGGGTGTCCGTGATGACTGCCCCATCAATGGGTGCATCCCACTCTTTCACGGTAGAGTGATCATATCCTTACGCATGCATGCACACACACACACACACACACACACACACACACACATACACACACACACCTCCACTTCCCTGACTCCCAAAAGAAGCTGTTTATAATTAGTAACAAGAAATCACTTGCACACACATCCACACCCCCAGATATATACAGAGAATGCTTACATAAACGCCAATGGGGCTTGCCTCCCAAAATAGACTCAACAAAGAGTCCTATTCTGGGAACACTCCATTTGCCCCAAAATAGAGCCACTGGAGATATTAACCCCTTGTACCATGCCTGGAGAGCGGGAAGTCACAAAGTACACATCAGATCCGAGTGAGAAACCCTAGTGCTTCCCCCATCAGCCACGTGGGGCTTCCCACTGAGAGGCCACAGGAGAGGGACCCTAAAGAGACACTGAAGAGCATCCATCACACTTGCCTTCACAGAGCCCCTGTATGTACCAATCTTTTCCACACAGGAGCAACAATGCCTCCACACAAGTTCAATACCTAGACTCGAACAGCAGGATGCATGATGTCCTGCTGGCTCTATGATCTGCCAGGTTTTCTTGGAGCAGAAACCTCAGGGTTCTGTGGGTGGGTCTTGTCTGCTGCTCCAATGGGCAGCAGGATCCAGGCAAGTGATTAGCAGACAGACTACAGTATACTGAGGCATCCTGCCTCAAGAGTGGAAAAAAATTTGCTTTGGAGGGCTTAGCCAGGACCCTGAAAAGACAAAGCTGAAGGATCCAGGCCAGACACAGCTGAGGGACGAGCACCCAGATATCCTGCATCACTTACTCTTACAGAGGTGTGACAAGAGAAATTCTAGTCTTCACCTGGACACACTGGGATCCTCTAATGCCCTAGTCAGAGTCCCAATACCCTGCCCCAGGAGGGAATTTCTCTGCAGAAGCAGTGTGGCCACCACGTTTCCTGGCAGCACCACTGCAGTAGGCCAGCCCCGTGGGATGCTCGGCAGTGGGAGATGCTCGCTCCACCAGGCAGAAAGCCACTGGCTGCTTATCAGGGGCTCACTAGACTCCCCGCCCCAGCCTCCATCCCAGCCAGAATTTTGTTACTGCTCCCTGCTCAGATGGAGAATGTCACCATGCTCAGTTGCTTTCCATTGGCAGAGGCTGTGGCAGTGAGACCATCTCAGCTCAGGAGTGGAAGAGGCTCTGCAAGAGGCTGCCTTGTCCAACCTCTGCCTCTGAGTAGCACATCCTGGAGCCTGCTCCTGCCCGATTTCAGCTTTCCAGAGAGAGGGACAAGGACGAAGGAATGTGGGGCTGTCTATTACGGTGACTTTACGTCACCTAAAATTCAAGACACAATGGGCCAGTAAGATGACTCAGTAGTAAAGAGCCTACCACCAGGCCTGCTGACCTAAACTCGATCCCCAGGACCTACATGGTGGAAGGAGAGAATCAACTCTCACAGGTGTCCTTTGACAGCCCCTCCAACACACATGAAATCAATTCGAGACATAAGATCCAATATCAGAAAATACCCACCTATGATTTTATTAAATTTAATTGGCTTTCATTTGATACTAACATAGGCATATTATAGGATGTTTAAGAAAATATAAGAAAAAACTGAATGGGGGGGGTCACCCACAGTTCTGCGCCTGCTACCCAAAGCAAAAACATTTACCAACACTTCATTTACTTACTCCTGTCCTTTTGATATGTCTGTTTTGGCTTTTCTGGGTGCAGTTTTTGTTTTTCTATAACTGTGATCATGTTTGTGATCTTATACCTTGTTTTTTTTGTTTGTTTTTGTTTTTTCTGAAAGAAAGGGTCTCACTATGTAGCCCTGGATGGTCTGGAACTTAGTATGTAAACTAGGTTGGCCTTGATGTTTTCAAGCATTTTAACACAACCCCCCCCCATTTTACTCATTTTTTTTTAAAATTTTATGTGTATGAGTGTACTGTCTGCATGTAGGTAAGTGCAGCTGTGTCATGCAATGTCCATGGAAGTCAGAAGAGGGTGTCGGATCCCCTGGAACTGGAATTGTAGAGGGTTGTTAGCTGCCATGTGGATGTTGGAAATTGAACCCAGGTCCTCTGCAAGAACAACCAGTGCTCTTAACCACTGAGCCATCTCTCCAGCTCTACCCCTCTCCTTTGAGACAGGGTCTCCCTGTCACCCCAGCTGCCCTGAAACGTACTACGTAGACCAGGCTGGCCTCAATCTCATTGTGATCTGCCTGCCCCTGCCTCATGAGTCAAAGGTGTGTATCACCACACCCAACTCCCCCATTATTTTTAAATGATCCAAATCATTTGAAATAAATGTATCACATTCTGTTGACAGATCCAAAGACTATCCAGATTTGTGTCTAGAGCCCAGGAAATCAAAAAATGGTGAAAACTCCTGTGATTTCTGCCCTTACAGTCTTGCCATGCTAACTCCACCGCTCCTCATGCTGGCTCTGGGGTGCTGGCTGGCTCTGGGAGCTTGCTGGCTCTCAACCAACAGCATGGAGAGAAACACAACCTCCCCAGAGGTTTGGGTGTGAAAAGAAGATATCCTTTACACCTGGGGCGCCACCTAGGAAAAGATTTTGGGTATAGCCATAACACCGGACATCACAGGGGGTGAGAGGCAGAGAAAGGAAGAAAAACCCCAAATCTGCCCTAGGGAGGGGACTGTGTTATCCCTCCTAACCCAGAACCCCCACAGGCAGGAACAGTTCCCTCCTCAAGCAGTCCCAACCCAGCTCTCTGGCACACCCACCCATCTAAGAAACAAGGCCTGCCTTCAGAGGACACTCTTCTGGGTCTCTTCCCCGAGAACCATGATCCCTTAGGTTCTCCGTGGCTGAGTTTGGCTCTGGAACTAAGCACAAGTCACGCAGAATTACAACTAGTAAACCACTTGGTATCACAAAATAGAGACCTGAGAAAGGAATCAAAACAGTTTTCTCAGTTGGCTGAAAATTTGACTGTCATGGAAGCTTCTTGAGCGGGTTTTTTTTTAAATTGTTTTTAATGAATTTTTTGCATATTTCATACAGAACATCTCAATCAATCTCCTTCATCTTTATACCCCTTTCTCCCATAGGCCCCACACCAAAATTCATACACTCTGTCATTTGCATTAAGATCTACTGTGTCAACTGGGCACGGTGGCGCACGCCTTTAATCCCAGCACTCAGGAGGCAGAGGCAGGGGATCTCTGTGAATTCGAGGCCAGCCTGGTCTACATAGTGAGTTCCAGGACTGCTGGGGCTACAGGGAGACCCTGTCTCAAAAAAAAAGATCTATTGTGTGAAGTCAGTGCCCCAGACATTCCTCAGTGTAAGTTCATCTACTGAGGTCTAGTCAGCTTATCTAGTGTCTCTCACTTTAGGAAGATCAGCTCTTCCTCACCTACCAGAATATTTCTTCAGCTAAGATTGGGGTCTGCTGTCCATCCCCCCAGTTCTATGCTGGGTTTTTTTGTCTGCTTTAGTTTACATGGGACCTGTGTACGCTGACACCATTGCTGTGAGCAGGGTCCCAGATCCTGTAGGACTCTGTTTCCGTATGGTCCTGCACCTTCTCCCTGGCTCTTACAATCTTTCCACCCCCTCTTTCCCCATGGTTCCTGAGCCCTGGGTGGGTGAAGTTTAATACAGCAGTCCTGTCCAAGGACCAGCATTCTGCAGACTCTTAATCACTGTGCTCTGGCCATTTGTCACCATGTGTTCCTGGTCCTCTGTTGCGTGAGGCAGCTTCATTGATGAGAATTGAGAGATTCATAAGTGACCTCTTGACCCCTGTTTTACCCCATTGGTTTGAGCACAAGCATGGTGCATGTGTGAAGCCTCCTGAGCAGATCAAAGTGAAACATCCCTCAGCAGGATGCAGAGCTCTGGCCCATCTGCTCCAGCCAGCTTCATCTGACAGGCTCTCCACTCAGGTCTAGCTGGGTGGACACACTGACTTGTCCTCAAGTCCTATAGGTCTCACCTAAGAAACATCCCCAGGAGGTCGCCCACCAGCATGCTCTCAGGCACACTGTGTCCTATGGAGACTACAAAACCTACATGCACAGATTTCTGGTGTCCTTAAATGAAATCTGTTCACTCAGAAGCTGCTTGCCTGGTTTTGTGCTGCCTGGATTCCCAGTACAGTGGGATGGCTGAGACAAAGACCGCCCTTTCCTTCGCCTAAACTACATAAATGCCGATTATGTTGCTGGAAGTGTGGGCTGAAGTTCAAAACAGTGAGCTTTAGGCTCACTTGCCTCCTGTTGGAAACCAATAAAAGAAGTGAGGACTAGAAGAAACCAGCAGGGAGAAGCACCATTGGAAATGGCTGGGTTCTCAGTCGAACTCTGTCAAACACGTGCCAGGAAAGCTTAGGATGGAAGCGGTCTTCTCTGTGTCTCCATTTCCACATCTGTAAGAGGAGTACTCGCCTGCTTCCTGCATATCCTGAACAATGTGCACATAGCACGCTAGGTAGAGCCAGAGAGGTCAGGAATATGGAAGCCATTTGCTCTGATGGGGTGAACATGGGCAGGTCTGTGTAAAGGATTTAGCTGGCTTTCAATGATAAGAACAGAAACAGAAGCGCTAACATAAGCTCACAGCAGGTCCTTTCCCTACCTGCAAGTCACAGGAGGCAGTCACCAAGCCCGAGGGGACCAG